ATTGTAGTTCCTTTTTTGGGGGGTTGAGCGAACTAAATATTTAGGATCCTATCAGGTAACCGCAAAAAGGAACTTATAGAAACTGCCTGTACTACCCACTAGCCCTTAACCTTAAATCCTACACCCACTACAAGGGAACTACCAGGGTTCTACTATGAAGGGAACCGGAAATACATGGGTAAATCGCTCAATCTCTATCCCTTTTCTGGGCCCATGCTGGTTCCAAAAAAGAACACAGACCCAAAAGCCTCTAGACTCTACATCGATAACAAAGACTCAAGGGAAGACTCCACAGTCGCAGAAGAAGTATTCCGTGCCAGATGCCTGGCATGGCCACGGCAAGCCTCCGTCTGGGTATGGAATCAAGTGCCTCCACTTGCATCCATTGGGGTCTACTCTTAGTCTCCATTGCGGCTCTTCTTCGCGGTTTGATCAACTGTATGTTCCGGACCCTCTAATAGGAGCCCAAAAAGGAACTACAACGGGAACTGTAGGTAGGGCCTTCACGTTTATGGCGTCTCGGGTTTGGGGATGTTTGGGGCTTAGGACCTTGTGGCCTTGTGGGTGCGGGGGGCCTCTGACCCTCTCCGGGGTTTCGGCCTTTGTGTGTTACGGGGCCTCCATAGTGGCTGGTTCTCTAAATTAGGGTCCCTCTTTAGGTCCCCAATATAACCCCTAGAAGAGAGGACCCTAAAAGGGACCCTAATTTGGAAGTCTACCCATCTCTAGTCTGTTGCCGAAGTCTCACTTGGATCAGGGAGTTGGTGGATCGGATTCGACCCAAGGGGCCCATGCACCTACTGAGTGCAAGTCAACGATCCTAAACCCTGAGCCCTAACAAGCACTGCCAGAATGCCCGTATTTGGACAAGAGTCCTAAAGCCCCATCCCGGCTCCCGTTTCTTTAGTGATCTGGGTATGTGTCCCGCCTTAGCGAAGTCGCCAAGGTCTTCGACTTTGTAGGGTGCAGGGTTTGAGACCGTATAGGGTTGACGGTTTGGAGGCTCAAGTTATTCGCTAGGTCTTCATGTTTCCGGTGAGGGTTTCGTTCAATCCTTCGAAGCAGCTCTGAAGGTACATACCGCACAAGGCGGGGGGCAGCTGTGCCGGTTAGGCGTCCGTACTTCATATTTTTTTCTAACATGTAGGCGGTGCGTATAATGTTCAATTCTAGGGGATGCGGGGTTTAACCTGTAAGCCCTAGACCCAAATGGGGTTCCACGCGCAAGGCTTTCGACCAAAGGAATGCTTTAGGCTTCTGTGTTCGAGTGTTCGGGGATTCTGCTTGCATCTACGGATGAACCATTCGACTAAATGCCCGCAAGCGCGAGGTGTGACAGTGTGTGTTCCGTAGGGGGGGGGGGGTGTCGAAGCTGATGATCCTATATGGGCAGGTTTTTCAAAATTCGGGTCGCTTCTCAAAGTCTTAGGTCCCCAATATAGAAACGGCACCCTCATAAAAAGGACTCCCAAAGCAACCCCTATTTTGGAGAACTACCCATATACTCACTTCGGAGCCTGGTGCACTGAGCGGTTGTAATATAGGTTCCAAAATAATTACTTGTACTATTGGTTCCTTCATTATTTCCCTTTTTCTATAATCATGAAAGTGCGGGGGGGTGGGTGGGGGGGGGGTGGGTTTGCTTATCCTAGAGTAATCCTACATTAACAAGTTGAAACATGATTTTGACCCTCTGCTTATCCATTGCCTATCCATTGCTTATCCTGATGTAATCCCGAGCCTTGTTTCAACTTAATGTGACATGCCCTGGCTTGGATTTCCCTTAGGTTGCGCCGCACGGATGTGTCTGTGTTGCTCTGTCTGGGGTTACGGGTTTAGGGTGCGCGTACTGATGCAGCGATTTTGCGACAAGCCCTGGTGCACGTCACTTTTGAGCCCTGCGCCGCTTTGCGGCTGGCTCCACAGCACCACCTGCACCCTTTCTCTTGCCTTTGGCATTTGGTGCAGCTCTAGCCGCTGCCGCATCTGCCTGCTCCGGTTCTGCTTGCAATCGCTCACCACCTGCACCCTTTCTCTTGCCTTTGGCATTTGGTGCAGCTCTAGCCGCTGCCGCATCTGCCTGCTCCGGTTCTGCTTGCAATCGCTCACCACCTGCACCCTTACTCTTGCCTTTGGCATTTGGTGCAGCTCTAGCCGCTGCCGCATCTGCCTCCTCCCGTTCTGCTTGCAATCGCTCCACTAGATCGTGGATCTCTCTGCTCGTGGGCCTGGGGCAGAAGGGTTTTGGGCTTGAATTCCGGTTTCGAGGGTCTACCCTAGAATCTTAACAAATCAAAACAACATAGAGCTAACATGGAAAAGGCATTATCTTTGAGGCTTTGGAGAAATATAAAAAAGGCCACTGTGTCAGGGCCTACTGCGGTTTAAGGTGCAGGGAGTATTGCTTTAAGCGCAGCAGGGCTGTGGCTCAGGAGTAACACTAGGACTAGGGATGCTGCGACGATGTATGAACACAGACTAAGGCCTAGAACCTTAAAGCCCTAAATCCCTACAACCCTAAAGCCCTAAACCCTAAGCAAACAGCAAACAGTACTGTGACGAAAGAAACCATAAACCAACACATACACTGTGGTACCGTAGATCGGATTGAGGCACTGCTCCTCGCCAGGTTGAAGGTGTTTCCCATACAAGAAATGAAGGTGCCAGATCTTGCCGACCACTTCCGCGAGGGCTTGTTCCTCGCTCAGGTTTCTGCGAGCCCCCCCCCAGGTAGTACAGCGGCTGCCAGAGCCCAATCCAGCATCACGGGCGACTTAGATGGTGGTCCAAAATAGGTGAAAAGCACCCGTGTCTTTGGCACGTACGAGTTGGACGTTGGAAACTAACAAGGCAAGATTTCTTGGTTGGTGACAAACACAAACGGCCTGAAGCCTAATCCGTGAGTTGTTCCCCAAAGCATGTATGCCTGAACAGCACACAGTTTCGTCAAGGCACGAGGGTAGTAAGCCTGGTACGTTCTGGCCACCGGGTTCCGCTGCATGTAGCAATCTTTCAGAGACCCGCGTCCTGGAAGCAAGTCGTTCCTGGGATGAGGCACCCAAACCAACCCAGAAACCGTCAGGGCGACCTCTCCAACTATCTCGTCTACTGAACCCATCTAGCCAAAAAAGACAGGCATCAATGAGCGCGGCGTGAAATTGCGACGGGGCTGGTTGGGCCCTTCACTTTCTCCCCGCCCTGGCTTCATGGCCTCCTTGATCTTGAAATCTGTTTCGATCTGCTGGGCAACGGCTGCGAGACCTGCGAACTTTTCACCGTTGTCTCTGTCCAGAAGCTTCACGCCTGCAAGGACATCGACAGCGCAGGCCTCCGTCATAGGCTGACTCCGCTCGCCCATGATACCTTGGAGAAGCTTAGAATGTTCCTCGCTGCCGGCCGGAATCTCGGGGAAAAGCTTCGCAAGAAGCACCAGCGCCCTGTCTATCTTCATGATGCTGCGCTTGCCCTTTTTGCCGACTTTGCCAGTTGGCGTCGGATCGGCAGCTCCGTTTGCTACACAGCACTTCTTCAAGGCAGGCACATCCAGGAAGCAACGTCCACTCCGCAGAGCAGCCTTTAGCAGTGGCTCCACAGGGCTGACGGCCTCGAGCACACACGAATGCTCTTTGAGTCGAGCTGGCACGGCTGCTGGATGCAGCAGTTCTACAGTGCAACCTTTGAAGTTCGTGTCCTCAGCTGATGCACATGTGTTCCACATCCAACGCGGGCGTTGAGTGGGCCGCTGATCTTGTGCCTGTGGCAACACGAAGAGAAGACGGCCTCGGGCATCCTTCTCAATCTCCAATGGAATCGTCTGTGCTGCCCACTTGCGAAATCCAAGCGAGAGAACTGCACCGTCCTCCGTCGAATTGAGCACAATCAGGCCTGGGACAAAGAACATGCCTTGGCTGCAAGCTGTGTAGTCCCCAGCGCAAGTCTAGCAGTCTTTAGCCTTTTGCTATCGAGTTGTTAGATTCAACCGCCCTGCTGGCGTTGATTTCTTGTGAGCATTCATTGTTTTAAATTTGGAAAGCAAAAATAGGCCTTTGCAATCACAGGGGCCCGCCCAGGTCGCTTCCAAGTTGCGGAAGTCGCTCGTGTGAAGCTCGGCCAGGGTCATGGTCGCCGCAGCCATTCTCATATCTGCCAATGTTCCAGCTTTCACCCACTTCACGTTGACCTTCTATCAGTGAAAGCTTGTTCTTCCAAACCCGCTGCAGTGCTCGTGCCCAGTGCAAAACGAGACAACAGTTCAAGCGGCAAGCAAGGCAGTAATAGCTACAATTGTTCAAGCACATGGGCTGAACTATATAGGCTAGAGATAGCACCCACAACGGCAGCTGCAGCAGCAAAATGCAGAAAAAAGAGGAAGCTAGTCTATACTGGACCTACCTACTTCAAACTGCTTACCCACTTCGATTCAGGCGCAAAGCTTTGCCCCGATACATGCTTTGTTCCCGCAAGACACGCCCGGAGCAATTTCTGAAGCAGCGAAAAATTGTAAACATTTCTTTCCACAGAGAGACAATCAAACAAGAAAGCCTGACGTCTTTCAATGTCAAGCGCGAGCCCTCATCCCAGACTCTTCAACGGCTATTAGGGGGCAAGCAAGGGGTGGACTACTGCTCTGCACTTGTGGTGGGACCTCGTCCGTGGTGTTGAGTTCCAGCTCCCGTGGGAGAGTTTCCGAAGCTGTCCAATAGGTGCCGCTTCTGTCTGTCCTGTCTCGCTGGACCAGCTCGTAGTCCTCGCGGCTGCACTGCAGATGCGCATATCCATTGGAGCGTGTGGACTGGCAGGTGCTCAAATAAAACCATCTCGTCCACCTACAGAGGGAAAGACGGCGGGTCCGCTGCTTGCTACTAATTATATATTCGGGTGAGTGCTCTCTAGGGGCCGATTCCAAGACAGCCCGTATTACGCTGCTTGATGCGGCCACGACACTTTCCCATCCGCAGAAGTCCCTTCTGGGCGCGGGCCGCGACATGATGTAAGTGTGCAAATGGATCCTCACAAGCGTGCTTGGTGTTTGATGGCGCCGCGAAGCATGCAAAAGCCATCTCTCGTAGTTGGGCATTGTCTGGCTGAAAACCTGCGTTTCGCGCTGCTTGGACTATCTCGAGGGAAAGTTGGCAGCCAGGCCAGAAGCAATCCTCCAGGAGGTCGCGGATAGCGGGACCTCTGCTGTCGCCATCAGCAGCGCCGTGCTGCAGCAGGCCATGCGCTGCCTTCAGCCCAGCATCGAGTTGACGAAGGAGCGCCAGGCTCTCGCGTTCCGCTGCAGTGGATGCGAAGGAGGAGCCCAGGAGGAAAGGTGGGCAGCACCAATACATAGCTTGTGACCAGGTCCTGCGTGCGCAAAACCAAAACCCTTGCATCAAAGTTGCACGGATTACGACTACCACTCTGTATCTGGAACCACATGGCCTAGCACAGGCCAGCTCGAGCAACACCTTCCACGTGTCGGCCAGAAGCGCCGATTCCTCCTGGATCCACGACAGCTGGCGGCACGACACTGGATCTGGCGCCTGCCAGAGTGTGATCCCCAACTTGCTCAAGAACGCAGGACTGTGTATTTTGCGGAGAGTGGACAGCAGGACTTTGTAGCCAGAGCCCTCAAAGCGTCCAGCCACCCATGCCAGTTGCTTCTCCTAGCAGTAGGGTCAAGCTGTATCCTACGCGACTTGCTCGTAGAGGACACAAAAAACGTTAAGACTTGTACGACGTCCGCAGTCCTGCCCCTGTTTCTGAGCCTGGACCGTCCGGTAGAAGTCCTTGCTGACGTCCTCCGTGGCGAGGGCAATCATGCGGAGGCTCGACTGCAGTGACCTGCCGGGCGGTTCGTGCAGATATGAACACCGGGTACGGTTTTGGGTCGTGGTTCTCGTTGATGTTTTGCTGCAAAACTCCGACCCTGAAGAACCCCTATACGTAGAAATGTTTCTTGTCAGGAGCCTTATGATTGTTCCTGAATATTATTACGGGACGACTACAAAGGGACCGTTCTGAACCCTGCTGCTAGTTCTTTGAGAGGGGACCCTACTGAGAGGGCCTAAACCCAATATCTAGAGAGGTCCCCGCAATCCTAACTCCCCATTGCTGAGTGCACGATTCCTTGACCAGCCTGTCTTGCAGCAACTCAGCACTCAACTGCACGTTGTTCTCGAACTTGGCTCGCCACTTCTGGAACTGCTTCACAGTGCGAGGCTCATCTGGATCCTCCTCTTCAATGAGCTGGTCGGCGTTGGCAGCCTCGAAGTTCTCATCCACCTGCTCCTGGGTGACTGGGTGGGTTGAACAGCTCGAAGGTTCCGGGTCTGGGAAATACGGCTTCCATATCTTTCATGTACGAAGACACTCGGGCAAGGGTTTCTTCTCGGGGATTGCGCACGAAGAACACATAGCCTAGCACAGCCACTCAGTCCGTCTCCGCGTAACGAGAGAGACAGAGAGAGACAGAGAGAGAGAGACAAAAGAGAGACAGAGAGAGAGAGAGAGAGAGAGAGAGAGAGAGAGAGAGATAGAGAGAGAGAGAGAGGGAGATAAGGAAGGAGAGGGCCACAGAGACCTACCCTGCCATTAACCGCAGTAACCCCAAATACAACGAAATACACCGAACACCACCATACGACACGTGTGGCACAGGATGCACAGAAGCTGACCATCGGACAAGCTGCCGCTGCGAGCTCTGCCATGATCTCAGCGCTGATGGTCCACTCCGTGCACAATGAGAGACACCGCTCTGTGAGGCTGAACCAGCCCTTGCCACGGATCTCAGCGGAGATTGGCGTTGCAGCAAGCTTACCCGATGTAATCTGATCATTCCAATCCGTCCTAAGCCCTCCCCTGAAACTCGAAACCGACCCGTCGCTCTGGAGGGATGTCGAATATATAGCAGAGACAAAGCGAAGATGCCAAAACAGACCCGCTTTATATTCAAGCTGACTTGAAACCAAATTGAGTCTTTGTGTCGAGGGACTCATCAGAAAAGGGAAGGACACTAAACAAAAACTAGTCCCAGTCTCCTTCAAGGGGTGTGCAAGGACGACTACACTTTACAATTGTAATACTCCTAGCTCTTGTAGCACTTTTGTTGACGCTGATCGGGTTGAGATGACAGTCATGGCCGCCTGGTGACAACGACTTTCACTTAAACTTCCAAGCCGACCTAGGCACATACATCCCACGTTTGCGGATGGCATCGGCGCTGCCCCAATCCGCGATCATTGTTGGCACCTCCTCCGGATCCGTGTCGTGGCCGCAGTCAAGCCGCATGAGTTCCGCCATGTCGCGCATTTTCTCGGCATCGAACCTATGCCGATCGGCGAACTTGCGAGCAGCTTGTTGCTTGCTGAGCCACGTAGCACCGCCTTGAAACCTCAGCACAACAACCGGAGACAGGACAGTGCAAATCTGTAGTCATGCTGGATGCACCCGATCTTGCACTCCTGAGGAAGAAGAGACTTCAGGAGTGACTGCCGCTACGCATGGACGAGTACGGCCTCCTCTAGAATGCCCGGACAGCAACATGGTCGCTTCAGTGACATGTAATCCGAGAGCATCCCAGAAACACGAGATTCCCACTCGACATCATTTAGTATTGCTAGTCTACTGGCTGATGTACCCGATCCGGACCCATGGAGTGAAGCCACGGTCCGTGCGAGGTCGCAGCCAGGATCGTGGCTTTCAGCATATTCATGGCTTGGCCGGCACGCACTAAGGCGTTTCCTTGTGCAGGACAACAGGGAAATGAAGCGAGCTCGATTCCTTCTTCTCGTCTCGAGGTTTGTTTCTCAAACAGACTTAGGCTGAGCCCTGATTATTCAACGGATGCATCACGAACCACTCCCAAGCCCTCGACAGCAGGTATAGACGAAACAGGAAACATTGCAGCCTCCTTTTCTTGACAGTTTGGGCGTACTAAGACGGTGTCCGGAAAAAAATTACGATTCATGGTTCTGAAGTTCTCGTTACACACTAGGCCGAGATGCGGCAATCGTTCCACGACCCGTGCAAGGTATCTGGCTCATAGAAACACCGCAGCTGCCGCGCGAGCAGCTTCCATAATTTCACGCCCACCTTCTCTTGGTCGGCCACCTGATGCCGTTGGTTTTTGCAGTGTCTTGTGGCTGCTTGAAGATCTAAGCATTTAAGCTGTTGCCATAAATCAACGGAGCTGCTCATTGGGTCAACAAGTCAACAATATCCTAACCTTCCTGACAACATGTCGGCCTAGGCACTCCCTTGAGGAGTGGCCGCAGCTTTGCTTCCGGTGCATCTAGTGGCATGCGATCTGTTGAGTACTTGAGCTTCGTCCGTGGTGCAAAGTGGGCAAGGTCGAAGCCAAAGCAGGTCTTCAGGGTGGTGTTGATCGCCCGTAAGACGATCTGCAGCATGCGTCAACAAGGGGACTCAGAAATTATGTGAAGCTTTGAGCGGCTGCAGCACTCAGCCTGAATGTTCACGATGTTCCTCTTCGTCTTTCGGACGACTGATCCAGTGCCCGAAGCTGACCTTGGATTGTGTTCCCAGCCGCAAATGCTACCAAGCTATAGGCTGCTGTCAGCATCATGGAGAATAGGATGTTCTTTTTTATCAACTCTCAACAGGAGCACCTATTCATGCAGGCCGGTCAGTAGGTAGGTAGAAATGCCTTCGGCCTACAGGTGATGTTGCACAACGGACAGACAAGCAGCTCCTCGGCACGCCGTGCAATCGGGTTGGTCTCCGAAGACTCAGCTTGCTTTGTCAGCGCCTCAGTGGACTCAGCTGGTTCCCGTCGGTGTGTGTCAGTGTCGGTGTCTGTCGGTGTGTGGCCGTGTGTGGGAGTGTCGCGGTTGTCCGTGCGTGTGTGTCGGTGTGTGTGGGTGTGGGTCTGTGTATGTATGTAAAAAAATATATATGTATATATATATATGTATACTATGTATGTGTAGGTGTATGTGCTTGTGCGTTGGCGTGGGTGCGTGGGTTTGTGCGTGCGCGTCTGCGTGTCTGCGGAGGTGAACTTGGGGTGCCCAACTCGGGATGATTTGCGTGCGGGTGTGGGTGTGAGGCTGGCTGGCCGTGCGGTTGGGCGGGTGGGTAGAGTGACGTTCAGTGGAGTGGGGTGGAGTGGAGTGGAGTGCATGCAGTGGAGTGGCGTGGAGTGGCGTGCTGCGGTGCGGAACATGTTGCTGTGCTGTATCGTGGGGTGCAACGAAGTGTTTTGTGGTCTGACATGGTGTGGTACGTTGTGGTTTGCGAATGGGCCTGTGTGTTTGTGTATGTTCGCGTAGCAGAGAGTACACAACAGAAGACCGAAGTACGCACTTGCTGCCAGCCTTCTTTTTTTTCCAGCTAGTAGTCTGAAAGGAGTCACGAGGACGACTCCCTTCAAGGTTTCTGAATACCCAGACTGGATCGGAGCTGCACTGTACATAGCGCTTTGCAAGTGCATCCAACAGAGGCGTCAGCCTATTATTCGCTTCCCGCACACATGCCCTAGCCTACGCCACTTCAGCCTACAACTGAACAAAATTAAACCCTCCATCTGAAATCCTGAACCTCGGCAACCCTAAACCCCAAACCTCCTAAACCCTGCAGCACCCTAAATACACTTATTATTATTAAAACTTGAAACCTAAGTACCCTTATCAGAGGACCCTGAGCCTGGCAACCGAAGACCCTGAGCCTGGCAACCAACCCTGCCTTCACAGAACGTACAGTGACCTGATACCAGCCTGCCTCTGAAAGCCCTGTCAGCTGTCACTCGCACTCATGTCCAGTTGCACACAAAAGCATTTCAAAAGTGATCTGCTGAGGGCACTCAGACGAACGAGCTGAGCTTGTTAAAAACTGTGCCCTGAGTCTCACTTTGGCTTGCATGCAGGCTCACCCTTGTGGCTTCGTCGTCGGAACTGCGATCTCGGGCTGCTTGGCCTGCCGGCAGCAAATCAAACATGTATGTGGCTTAGGGCTTAGGAGTAGACTTGCCAAAGCGACTCAGATTCTAGGTGTTTGCGGACAATCGATAACTCTCACCAGAGGCCTGTTCTCACATGTCACATGCCCTGGCACTCCATTGGAAACAACGACAGCACTGAAGCGCCTAAGAACCTGGAGTGTCACGCCATCCCCTGAATGCTAGAAGCCGCATTTACAGGCCTGAAGCAGGGATGCTTTGGCGGAAGCCTCTCTTGGCGCGGGCTTGGGGGCTGGGACCTTCGGCTTCACAGATCCCGCTGGCTGCTCCGCTGTTGTGTCTTCGGGGCTCTCAACCGCAAGCTGCAGCGGAGCGGGTGAGGCTTTCTGAGTCTCGACCACGGCAGGCGGTGCTTTCGGGGTCTCAACCGCAGTCTTAGTCTCGACCACGGCGGGCGGTGCTTTCGGGGTCTCAACCGCAGCAGGTGGCTGCGGTGGAGTCTCGACCACGGCGGGCGGTGCTTTCGGGGTCTCAACCAAAGCAGGTGGCTGCGGTGAGGCTTCCGGAGTCTGAACCACGGCGGGTGCAACCGCAGGCTGAAGCACAACAGGTGAGGCTTTCGGAGTCTCGACCACGGCGGGCGGTGCTTGCGGGGTCTCAACCGCAGGCTGCGGTGGCTGCGGAGTCTGAACCACAGCGGCTGCAACCGCAGGCTGGAGCGGAACAGGTGAGGCTTTCGGAGTCTCGACGACGGGGGGTGGTGCAGTCGTGGTCTCAACCGCAGCAGGTGGCTGCGGTGAGGCTTTCGGAGTCTGAACCACGGCGGGTGCAGCCGCAGGCTCGAGCGGAACAGGTGAGGCTTTCGGAGTCTCTGCCACGGCGGGTGGTGCTTTCGGGGCTGCAACCGCAGGCCGCAGCAGAGGCACAGCTGCAGCTGGCGCAGGGACCTGTGCAAAGCACCAAACAGACAGAAGCAAGCACACACACACACACAAGACCAACAAACAAACAAACAAACAAACAAACAAGCCAAGGGAAGCGTGTACGCAGCACCCACATGGCGACATGTACGTAATGGTCCCTAGACATCACTCCAGGATTCTACTTTCAGGCTTGTTCACAAAAGGGCCTTGGCCAGGAGTCCTGTACACCACTAGAACCCTCCCCCCCCCTTGTCTCGACTAGACATTGTCGAAGCAGCCAGCACACATACACTTTACAGCCCCACTGGCGCGCTTCTCCTGTCATTTTCCTGCTGCGGGTTCAGGCAGAGCTGCTGGAAGCGCGAGCTTAAGGATCAACAGTCCGACTGACTGTCCGACTGCACAGCAACAACCTCGATCTCAGACCGAGCTTTCTGCCCTTCGGGCTCACTGCTCGCAAAGCACAAGCGACGGACTGCGCGAGCCTTCTCTTGCCTCTGTGGCGAAGGTGGAGCGTCGCTGGGTTCAAGGCCGCACGACACACGCAGCTTCTTTTCCGGGCGCGGAGGCGTTCGAGGGGGCTTCTTGGTCTCGGGTGTAGTAAAAGCCTCCAAGAAAGAACGCTTCTTGACCTCGGGTGTAACAGCCTTGTCGTTCCCCTGCGTCTTCTTGACCTCGGGTGTAACAGCCGTAGCAGCCTCGCCTTTCTCCTGCGTCTTCTGGGCCTTGGGTGTAACAGCCGTAACAGCCTGGTCTTTCCCTTGCGTCTTCTTGATCTCGGGTGTGAAAACCTCTAGGCTGAGTCCAGCCATCTGTGGCGTGAGACCGGACTGCGCAGCTGGGCTGGCTGGGCTGGAAAACACAGTCTCTGGAATCTCCACAAACGTGCCCTCCACGTGGTCCCCGATGGCCAAGGAGGACAAATCCGACTTGGCTGGCGATGCCTTAGCACTATCACATGCTTGGTTCGTGGACGGAGTGGGGCTGTGCACCCTGTTCGACATGGCACAGCACGAAACTGCTAAGACAGAAGGCTTTCAGAATTGAACCTGCATCACCTGCAGCACGCGGGCAGTGCAAGGGCCTAATAGGCAAGGGCTCGGATACGCCTCGGCTTGGGCTCGGATTTGCTTAGGATTAGGCTCGGATGGTGAAACACAAAGAAGGGCTCCGATTGGCCTAGGATTAGCCTAGGATTAGCTTCGGATTAGCCTAGGATTAGCCTCGGATTAGTCTCGGATTATGAGGAAACGCAGAGAAGGGCTCGGATTAGCCTAGGATTAGCCTCGGATTAGCCTAGGATTATGGGGAAACGCAGAGAAGGGCTCGGATTAGCCTCGGATTAGCCTAGGATTAGCTCCGGATTAGTCTCGGATTAGGCTAGGATTAGTCTAGGATTAGGCTCGGATTATGGGGAAACGCAGAGAAGGGCTGGGATTACCCTAGGATTAGCTGAGGCTCAGCCTGGGATTAGCCTAGGATTCGCCTTGGATCAGACCAGGATTAGTCTCGGATTGTAGGGTTACGCAGAGAAGGGCTTACTTCGGCTAGAACTAGGCTAGTATGATTAGCCTCGCGCAACCTCACTGACAGGTTCACGACCCAGCCTGGAAGAGGCTGGCCACCCAACACGGCTTGCACGTCTTGGATGGGCTGGCAACGAACCACTGCTTGAACTTGCGGCTTGTTTCCTGGGCCGCAAGATGCAGGGCTGCTAAAGCAACACATGTGAACAGCGTTGTCAGATCGACCTGATGGAACATGTCTGTGGCCTAGTATGAAAGTCAAGCCGCGCGTAGCTCTTGCTGCAACACCCAATCCCCGCAACCTCCCTCGGATTGCGTCGGGAGGACCCGATGCTCCTTCGATGCAGTCTCTCGGAGGATATGGACACCGTTGTCGGCATTGAAGGTCAGCGTAAACTCCTGCTGCCCGCGGGAGGACATGGGCAGCGCAAGCTCCACTGAAGGGGTATGTGGATACTGCGTCCGTAGAAAGTTCTGTCATAGTTCTATAAAACCAAGCGACCCAGAGTTCCGTAAGAACCATAAATAAACAGGCCCCACCACTACATCCTACTGTCGCCATTGTAGTTCCTTTTGTTGAATTACTATATATATATATATACATATATATATATAATATAATTAGGATCCTATAAGGAATCCCCCAAAAAGGAACTACAATGGCGACTGTAGGTGAATCCAAGCACACCCCGTGTGTATTCTTGAATTGGAGGCAAAACTAGCAATCCTGCAAATGTGGCTACTATTCATTCAACATCGAGTGTAGTTTTGAATTGTAGCCAACACCCGCAATCCTACAAGACTGGCCACTATTCAAGCTTGGAGTGGAGTAGTAGTCGTAGTAGTGTAGTAGCAGTAGTAGTAATAGTAATAGTAGTAGTAGTAGTAGTAGCAGTATCAGGAGGAATACTAATATTGGTTGCATACAGGTGTGTAAATCAGACGACTAAGAAAGCATACTGCAGAAAGTATGGAAACCCCACCTTAAATTCTAGCACTGCACTTGCACAACCACAGGTCCTCTGGCTCTTCCTCGTCCGAGCTTGGTGGGGGCTCCACTCCAGCAGCCTTGCCAAAGCGGGGGGGGGGCTTGAGGGGGCGTGCCTTCGAAATTAGGCGGAAGGGAATTTACTTCCGTTGGACTTGGATTGGACTGGATATGAAGCCCCCCAAACACCCGCTGATGCACAGGATGCTCGGCCCCTGCCCCCCCATTTAGAAGTCCAACGAAATTTAATTTCGTTGGACTTGGGTTGGACTGGATATGAAGCCCCCCAAACACCCGCTGATGCGCATGATGCTCGGCCCCTGCCCCCCCATTTAGAAGTCCAGCGAAATTTAATTTCGTTGGACTTTCGTTGGACTGCATATGAAGCCCCCCAAACACCCGCGACATACTGAACCTATACTCACATTCACACCCGCAACCTCCAACACATATTCCTTCCTCAACCTAAGCTCGACCTCGTAGCACCGAAAACCCTTAATTTCAGTGCCAGCCCTTGCAGCACCTGCAGCGACGTAGGCGGGAGAGCTGTTTGGCCTCGCCGACTCGCTAGACAAAGCTCAGGACCGAATGTTTTCTTAAACGGTGCTTCATTGAGGCCATCAATCTGCAGGATGCTTGGCAATATGTCTGGTTCTGGTGAGCACAGTTCCAAAAGCACCCCTTCAAAGAACACCAAAACCCAGAAGGTGTAGGGGTTACTTGGGTGGACACCCACGATGCAGCGTTGAACGGATGCCTGGCACTGCTTGATCCGCTCTGACGCCAACAGGAGCAGCTGCTGTCTGGCGTGGCAGGTTAGGATTTTGGGATCCAGTTTAGGCTTGCGGTCGGACTGCACGAGGTCAGGCTACTCTGTCTTCCTGTTTCTAAAATCTGCATAGCCTCGCCGGTCCCAGCAGGCATTGGGGTGGCAGCTTCCAAAGTCTGGCCTGTGTCGAAAGTCCCGACAACACAAAATCAGCCGTGGGCTTGCCCCTAAACTCTCCTCAACTGACAAAGCTTGAAAACAGCCAAGAAGCGAGAGTCAGAATGAAAATTAAGGTGAGGCAGCACGAGACCGTGAGCGAGCGACAGACTCATGGAGTGCCAAAATTTGCGCGCCTGGCAGTGCTGCCGGCGCCGCTGTGAGGGCAGGAGGAGCAGCTGCGTTCTGGTGTGGCAGATCAGGGCTTTGCTACGTGGGATCATGTGCCTTGCTCTTACAAGGAATCCCAACAAAAAAAAGGGAACTACAATGGCGACTGTAGGTGAATCCCAGCATACCTCTTGTGTATTCTTGAATTGCAGGCAAAACCAGCAATCCTACAAAAGTGGCTACTATTCTATATCGAGTGCAGTTTTGAATAGTAGCCAACACCGGCAATCCTACAAAACTGGCTACTATTCAAGCTTGGAGTGGACCCCCCCCCCCCCCCCCNNNTTTTTGGGGGGGGGGGGGGGGGTTGACTTTCTGCATATATGTACGTATGTACGTATGTATGTTTGTGTGCATGTATGTATGTCTGTATCTACCTATTTTGTATGCCTGTATGCCTGCATATATATGTGTGTGTATTTATACAGACACAGGCATGGATATATCCGGTGTAGCCTCCGGGGTCGCAGCGGGCGCAGCCTGGCCTGCGTCGAGAGTCTCGACAACACAAACACGCAAGCACGCTTAGTTGAGTTGGGTTTGCTGACTGGACATGCTGATCACTGGACGGGACATGCTGGTTCGCCTGCAACAGCAGCAGCTTCCTGAGCTGCAGAATTGCTTGGTGCTCTCGAATTGCACGTGAGCTGCTGAGTGCGAGGGTTTGCTGGAACAGCGCCGGGTTTCCAAACAATAACAAGCTACCAAGCTCAGCCTCTGCACGGCTGCATCCACTAATGCTATCGGGCGGCTGCTGGCAAACCCGCGGGAGTTGGCAATGTCGGCGTGCCTGCCGGGGGTAATCCTTCTGCAGTCAACAAGTCTCCGTACCCAGACCCTTGAACCTTGAACCCTAAAGTCCCTAAAGCTGCCAAGTATAGTAAAACCCTCACATAACCTTATGAAGCCCTTCTAACACCCTGTAAACCCACAGAGCCCTTCTGTGCAGAACCTTCCTCTAGCCCTTCTCAATCCTCTCGAAACAGAAAAAGAGATTCTTTAAATTAGACTGCTGACCGCTGTCACAAAAAACAAAAGAACCTTCAAAACCTTGTGTAGTAGTGTAGACCTCCAGACACCGAAAGCACTGACCCTACAGCCTGCATTGCCGCGTCACTGTAGGTGAAAAGCCCCTGACATAGAAACTCCGACACATCCACCCCTGGAAGAGAAGAGTGACTCGCCTGTCCCCTGCATTCCAGGAAGAAGCGGCGCTCCCCAAGTGCCGGCAGCCAGCACACCCGGCGAGATTGCTTGCTGGTTGGATGGTCTGGGTGTCTGGCCTGACACCATGTGGACGTCTTGGGAAGGCGGGGTTGGCTTCGTGATGTCCACGGCGGGAGCCGCCTGTGCTGCGGTTCCCAAGTGAATCATCTGTGCCTGGGGGCTGAGAAGTGCCCGGATCTGTTCCTTCTTGTAAATATCCACTGGCAACTGCATCGGATTCGGTACAGTTGCTTGGAGAGTGTCGCAGAAAATCACATCCGGGTTCACTTTGTCTAAGCCTCAGCTGCCAGCAGTTAAGGTTCCGCGGGGGTTTCTATGCTTTGGAGCACAGACTGCATACAATCTTGTTTAGGATATCTTTGTAGGCATAGGAACTCGAGGCGGCAATGATGTAGCACCTGCCGCTGCCTGCCTCCAATCGAAGCATGTACTGATCGTGGTAGGGAGCGGGCAGCAGGCTGGTCACGTTCCGCTCTGTGTGACCGTTGTCTAGGATCCAAGCTTTCGCCTCGGGCCGGAACGCCAAGCGGAACGCCTCCTAGCAGGACAGCCGATAAATGGTCTCTGTTGTCAGAGGGAAGCAAGGAATCACTGTGCCTATGCCTAAGTTGCCTAAGCGTGTGGAGAGAGCGACAGAGCGAGGAAGAGAGAGAGAGAGAGAGCGAGCGCACTCGGCCAGTGACTGACGAGGCCAACCTGGCCTGGCCGCCAAGGACGGCCTTGCTGATCGTGACCAACACGTGTGCCGGGATGGCACGTCCTGGCGAGCCCCGCCGGGTGTAGTCGCGCTGCAGCTCTTTGGCAGTGGCGATTGAGTTCTCTTTCCTTGTGTTGCGTAGATTGTGACAGGATGCAGCAATGAGGCAACGAGACCAAATTCAGTGCAGGCATGATTCTCCAATGCGGTCAAGCGCATCTCTGGGGCTTTGCCCCAGTACAGATGCGCCATGGCCCCAAGGGTTGCGGAATCAAGCCCTTCCAGATAGCTCATGTTCGCATTGTCTGGATCCGATGTGCACAAGAGGTCGCGCATAATGTAGTCCTGGGATGAAAGCTAAACTGGTCATCCTGACCCCCATCTCCAGCCGTGAACGGGGTTCTGGAACTAATACAAAGGCCTCTAGAAACAATGGACCCTCACAACTTACAACCGAAGCTAAGTGTTTAAATAACCCCCCCCCAAAGCTCCTGTGACAAAGCCCATGCAATAAACCCTTTCAGAATTTCAGTCCGGCCTGCAAGCAGTGAAGCAGCATGTAAACTATTACTATGTAAACGCAATCGAGAGGCTACAACTCCACTCCACTGCGACGCATAGATGACACTACCATCCTGCTTCTTGTCTTTCCCGACCCCACGGCGTCTCTTTGACTTGTTTCCGCCCGCTGTAGAGTCTTTCCCTGACTCCTCAGGCGCCAGGCCAGATGCTGGGGTTGGCATGACAGCCTGCGGCATCAAAGCATTGCCAGGGTAGACGGCCATCGGCATGCCAGCATACTGCGCAAACTGGCCAGCATGTGCAGGTGCTCCTACTCCCGGCACAGTCTGTCCAGGCATCATGAACGGAAGTGATCCAGCAGCCGGGGAACCCTGCATGACAGCTGCCGGCGCAGTCTGCCCCATCATCTGCGCTTGTGCTGCCTGGTATGGAGGCTGCATGAACTGTGCATGCGCTCCCGCAGCGGCGGTAGTCGCTGGCGTGCTGGTGTTTGGCACCGGCACAGGGGGCCTTTGCTGTCCCTGGAGGCTCTGCATGTCAGCAGCACACTGCTGACCTGACACCGGAACTACTGGACTGGATGCAACCTGAGCAAAACCTACTGCATCACACAATGCACTGCTTGCGGCTGTACATTTACGGAGATGCGTGAAGTGGCCACACATGTGAGGCAACGGAAGCAAACCCCTTTTCAAAGCCGACCCGGAGCATGCGGTGCATCCTGTGAAAAGCAAGACATTGCCACCATCACGACAAGGGCGACATTCTGCATCGCCATCGCGTTCCCCACAAGCTGCGCCGAACGCTTTACGTCCAGCGACGGCAACACGGGTAACCCAGCAGCATCTGCCACGGCCGCCCGCACAGGGAACGTCATAGCGGACAGCCTAAGCTAGGAGCAGAGTCTCCACTTCGCAGGTACTGACACACACGCCTGGTCTTATGGCTTGGGTGGTTGAAATCTAGCGTCCAAAGCCAGAAGGTAGAAGAGATGTTCAGGAGTGCCGCCAAGCATCTTCTCTGGGTTCGTCAACCAACGCCGAGCCGCCGGGTACCAGTATTTTCCAGTGACAGCATTGCGTCGGAATGTGGGCAGCTTGCCACTCTTGGCTGACCAGTTCTGCCTCTCCGCGGAGTCACCCAAGAAGTACACGAGATCCGGCTGCATGCTCGGAGGTACACCGTAGAAGCGTTCGTATGTCTGGTCTAGTCGAGTCATCACTTCCCGTTCTCTGGGGGAAAGCAAATAAGACAAGTTGTCCAGCTCGGGCTGCCACTCAACATCTCTGAGACCTTGGATCACACAACCGCACTATCTTCTGGAGGCAGGGGTTTGCATTGTCCAGGGTTTGTGGAGTTTCGTCTCATTCTCTGCGTTTCAGTTCTCAAGCTCAAAGGCCTCAAGCAAGATGGCTTGAAACCCGCAACGGTTTAGCGGCTTCAGGGCTGGCTTTTGTAATAGGCCTGATGACACTGCTTTCAAGTCTGACCTACAGACATATGCATCCGAAACACGTGCTTGCTCCATTGCTTCGCACCTGATCTCCAGTGCGCTTGCAGTAAGGTAGTCGCGTGGTCTCGTGGTGAAGCGCTGCCGTATGGAAGTCGCGACCTCCTTGTAGATGTGACGAGGGTCTGCGATGATGCGATACTGCTTGGTAACTAGAATCACATACACGCGCTTGCGGGCGGCGCCGGAGTGGCCAACGTCTGCGAGGTCCACCATCAACTCGTAAATGTGGTAGAGGTGGGAAAGCATGTCGTGCACGATGTTCACGTGGAAGTCCTATGTTGCCAACGAGAACAGTCACAGTGATGGGACGAAGCTTGCAAAAAAAGGCCAGAACGAAGTGGTGGACAGGCTGGTTACTACACACATTGAGGCTGTGAGACACGACACGCTAGCAACAATAACTTCTCAGACAAGCCGCTGGGGTGTTCTCCAGAATCGCGAAAGGTATACGGCTGCGCTCCAGGCGCAAAGCCCAAATCGCGAAAAGCGGGCCTGTTGATCCCTCCTCGAACTGCCTACCCACATGGGCTCTCGAATTGTCCGTGCACGGCAGGCCAGAGATATCCAAATCTACCCGTGTATGCATGCACGTGCAGCCGTGCGTGTGGCAGTACAGCTCCGTAACAGTGGGCGCCGCTCTCAGAGCATCCCGCCTTTCTGCGAAGCCTCAGACAACCCATGTGTGGCATCAGGCATAGCAAGAGCTCTGCTGCATTCAGGTTTTTTTTGGGGTTTAGGGAAAATTTAGGGCTCTGGAAAGAATCGAAATAGAAGTATTTCTTTGCAGGAACTGCTGAGGCCGTTGTGAAGAACGCCGGGCAGGGCAATCTGATACATGTCACCGAACACACACGGCACGTCCAGATTCTGAGTCACTGCTCTCTCCACCCAAGCGTGGTTGTCACGGATGCACTGATAGCACTTTTCCTCTATTTCCTGGGCGTGCAAGTTTGTGGACATGAGTGCCACGAAACAATCAGATAAGCAGGCCGCACTGAGTTCCGGGCCCAGCAAGCCATGCATTGGCAGGAGAAAGTGAAGGGAAAGCAGCCTGACTTGTTCACCACAGAACCGGCGGCGGCCACAGCCATCTCTGCCGTATAAACCCCAGTGCACATACTGGAGGAGGTTCTTGTTGACCTCCAAAGGCTGTCCTGGTAGAGACAATTCTGCAGCGCAGCAATCTACATCAAGGACGCAGATGGGTCACAACTGCAGCCCATGTACTTGAAGATGCACGTCCCCAATGAGCTGCCGTATAAGCCGCCAGGCAGCCTTCAACTGTCGCGACAACAATTACTACAGAAATGATAGGAACGTGTCACAGAGCCAACAACCTGCTTCTGATCGGATCCTGCCTCCAAGGCTGCAGCTGCCTGCGCCAAGCTGTGGTCCGCAGATAAAGCCTCAAAGGCAGGACAAGGCATGTGAACTTCACTTCTTCTGCACAAGCATCATGCACGAGCCGTGCTCCTAAGCCAAAATCACATCTCGAAGCCTGGTCTCGCGCACGCTTCACGGCCACGTCCGTGTCCGTGATCATAGAACTGGATGCAAAAGTTCTGGAGCGTTTCATGGCTCTAGATCCACGCGCGAGGTTGGAGTCAGGGCAGCGTGCAAATGTACCACATTGAGAGTCAGGCCGGTGTGCATGTTTAAACTTGAACAAATGTTCAGCCAAACGCTTGCAGTGCAGTGATCTAGCTGCACGTGCCTCTCACACGCGTGACCCGAAAGCTGCAGTGGCGACAAACCAGCCCAGCAGTGTGAAAGAGTCCAACATAACGAAAGATCTGCCACGCTAGCTAGGCTCCAGACCAGCGGTGGTGCGAAAGCACACAGTGCTTTCCAAGGGCCTTTGAACAGGAACAGCAACATCGAGACAATGCCATAGGACCGATTGAGGATCGCACAGCAGCAAAAGAAAATTTCCGTCGGAACTTTGGCTATGTTGCTGCCGTCCATGTACAACTGCAGGGCAAAACGACTTCACAAGCATGCTCCCACAATGTAGCATTCTAGACGCTGGGGCCCCTACATGCACGGCTGACTGATTCTGAAACTCTGCACGCATTCGAGCCAGATATGTGACCTGGGCGAATGTTACTCAAGGCCACGTTACACAGAAACTTGTGACACAACAGAGGCCAACACCATTTCCCTCATTGCGAACTCACATGACGAAATCTTCCACTCCTTCACAGCTCCGCTGATGAAAACTTCCTGCCGCGCAAAGCATGTGACAATGTAATGTGGTGATCTGGTGCAACACAACAACATCAAATCAAGGCGTCCTTCCCTGACCGAAGCTTCTCCAATGCATCCCAGAAAACATGCCAGGGCATGTGCCGGCGTGGCATGTGCCGCATTTGTTCCACCCCCGTGCAAAGCCGCAGGCCCTGGTCATCCTTAGAGAAAAAAAACAGGCGTGGGTTTCGCACACGAGCCCAAGATAAGACATGCACTGTACGGCGTTATCACAGGCAAGGGTCTAGCAGCTTTGCAATCTGTGCAAGAATGCTGCTTGCCACACATCTCAGGGCCTTGACATCCTCGTGGACATCGTCGGGGTCGTCCCCGTCATACCACGTCCTACACTGTTACACTGGAGTTCTTGAACAATGCGTCGGCCACGGAAGTACGTTGCATAACCTCGGTGCTCTCACAGTGCCAGCAAGCAGCCTGCTAAATGCGAAGACGATCACATCTGCCACATGGGGCGTGTGGGGCATGGTCTTCACGCCCAGGCCCTGGGGTTCTGCCTTATATGAAGCAAGACAACCAGACAAATTGCAGAGGCCCTGCTCAAAGTCGACTGGGCTGTTCTAGCTACTCCTGACAAAGATGCAAGCTGTCGGTGCCACATATCCAAGAACAAGCGCTTTCGCGCACAGTCTGCGCCCCAGAGCAAATCCCCATTGAAGGTGCCATCTCTGTTCAACATGCAATGCACAGGGGTCAGCCGCTGCATGTCCCACAGTACTAGTGTTTGTTGCTCCATCCTGCACAACATGGTAACCAACCCCGTCAGAACGCTAGCGGCGTTTCGAACGGTGGATGCACGCTTCGCTGGATCATAAATCATCCAGCCCAAACTGGCAATCAGCACTGACGTGTGAGCAGTGCGCTCTGGCAAACATCCGAGCTGCCCTGTGCGAACCTTGTACGGAAGAGGCCTTGGCAATGGCACGCCGGGCCAAATCTTGCTGTGCCATTCCTGTACCTGGACCTGCTGCGATCGGCTGTAAAATGCCTGCTTCAAATTTTTCCGACGATTGGCTGGAGAAGCAGCAGGAGTATTCTCATCACCTTTCCGACGTGAGTCCTCATGGATGATTTCGAGCACGTACGGTATGGACCACTGAAGTTGCGCACCCTGCGTGGAAGCGTGTTCCAACTACAGTATCACCATGCAATCATGTCGTACTAAACAAAAACTTGCACTGATTCCAACAACTTCTGCCTCCACATGCCAGAGAGGGACAGAGCTACCCAGAAGGCTCAACTGACCTCAGGAGTGCAGTCATGTTGCATGGGAATCTGGGTTTGCAGCACCGCTGAGCGTTTGGCGTTCTGCGCTGATTTTGAGAGCCGGTGCCGCAGCGGCATCTTCCCCCATTGGCCGTGGGAAAAGTACAATTGCAAGCCTTACAAACCCTTTCTGACATTGCGGACAATATGCAATGTAAACGCCCAAAGCTTCTCTGCACTACAACATGTCTCAAGCGTTGAGCGCTATAGCAAGGACTATGTGACCACAACTGAGCATTGTCATTCATCCGAAACACTGCGCAGCTGCCCAGCGTGAGACTCACCAAATGGACGCCAGCAATCTTGTGCTGCCTACGCAATCTCTGAATCTCTCTGTCTGTGTGGTTCTTCTCGCTTCGCTTCTGGATCCGCTCGAGGCTGTCAGGAAGGGAGTTTCTCCACCTCGGTAATCCATCATTAATCCAGCACTAATCATAAAATGTGGCTATCCTCCAACAATCCACTGCTTAAACTCAACTAATCCCACACTAATCATGTATGAAGATGATTAACCATGGATTAAGGAACCCACCCCCCCCCACCCACCCCCCGGCAGCTTCATGATATAATGTACCCCCAAAGCCCTATTTTCATCATTAAGGCCCCTACATTACACTACAAAGGACTGGCAGGCTTTGCAATCTCGGAGGATTTTGGCTCAGCAGACAACCACCGTACCGTTTTTGTCCCGTTCCCTTTTAGCTATGGATTCAGACCCTTGAGGTTTATTACAAAACAGTTGAAGCCTGAATGATTAGCAAATCTGGAGCTCCTGAATGCAAAAGTACTATACTGCGCTGAAATACCCTCAAGACGCTATTCTAGTTATAAGTTACGATGGCCCCGAAATTAACTTTACGGCATCCAAGCTTGACCCCCCGCCCCCGCCTGAATGACATTCTAAACCTCCGGGGTTCCGTGGGATAAACCTTTGAGTTTGGGGAGTTAAAACAAGAAGCATCCAAACCTCAAAGACTGGAAAAGCATGTGTTGAATCATCGGCTGTTCTTGACACCGCTGCAGACGAATCCTGCCTTCACTGCCAGCTCTTATTTCGATGCACACAGGAGCTTCTGTTCACAATCTAACGACTTTCGTTTACGAGCTCGTGCAGCGCTGAGGGTGCGTGCACAGACCCTAAACCCTAAACCCTGAAAGTCCACTGTATTTAAAAATCCTAAGTGCCTAGGGTGCTGGGAGCTTATGGAGGTGACTCTTAAGTGTAATACAGGGGCCTGAACACATACTCATGGTCTTCCGTAGAGCTCCTGAGTATCACCATACCCAAAACCCTAAGCCCTAAACCTCGTTTGTGTCCAGAACCCTAAACCCCAAACCCTTTAGGGTTTGGGGTTTCGGGCCTTGTGTTTCCAGAATCCTGTCGCCAAGCCGAAGCCCACGGCTTCACAGTCACTAAGGCAACACATCCTCATAAGCCCTCAACCTACTGACGACTTATACCTCGAAGTCACAACGGTATTTGTGTGTAGGGCTCAAGGGCCTTGTCCAATTCTTAAAGGCTCCATACATACCATACATACTACCATTATGGAATAAGGTCCCAATTAAAAGACCATCTTTACTATGTCTATGCTTTTTTTGGGGCCTAAATCCATAATAGTATATAATGGTGGACCCTCTTGGAACTTACCCGAGGGACGAACAGACAGCCGAGACTATCTCTTCGGGCAGGTGCTCCTGGATAGCGACGGAAAGGTCCTCAAGAACTTCAGAGTGGACCTGCCCCACAGCTGCGATGTAGTATGTGTCTACATATGTATATATATATATATTATATATATAATATCTATCTGTATGTATAAATAAATAATACATACATATATATATATATGTATATATATAGACCAATATGAACATGTACGTTGTTACATATATGTAGACAAGTTCATACGTGTACAGAAGCACATGCCTAGTCCATTTCCGAGGTGTGCCTATGTTGTTGCGCGGGACATATGTTGAATTCTGCGACCGAGTGGCTCTGCATCTTAAACGACGGCATGTTTGTTGACTGGCAGTTTCATAGGACACAGCACGCTAAGTATGTTGTGATTATATGAATAAGTTTCTCTGGTTCAATTTGTTGGGATCCTACGCGATTCTGTTATCTAAGCCGTCCGAGTGACTTCTGAACCGAGCTAATCGTACGCCCCAATCCCTAAAAGCCGAAACCCTAAACCCGAAGCCCTAAACCCTAAGCCCTATACCCATATATACTCTAAACCCTAAACCCGAAACCTTATACCTATACCCGAAACCCTATACCCTGTACCCGAAACCCTGTACCCTCAACCCCCGAACCCTAAACCCTACACCCTATACCCTAACCCCTAAACCCTAAACCCTAACCCCTATAAACCCTAGACCCGAAACCCTATACCCGAAGCCCTTAGCCCGAAACCCTATGCCTTGAAGCCTAAACCCTATACCCCAAGCCCTCAAAGCCGAGAGTCTTCGGACGTTGCCGCCGAGGCCGGAGGACCTCGAGCCGCTCCTGAAAGAGGGCAAAAAGAAGTCGTAAAGGCTCCGGGTTTTCGGGTTTAAAGGGTTTAGGAGTTTAGGGTTTCGGGTTTAGGGCTTAGGGGTTTAGGGTTTTGGGGTTTTGGGGTTTAGGGTTTCGGGTTCTGGGGTGTAGACGCTCTGGGTTTTCGGGTTTAGGGTTTCGAGTTTAGAGGCTTTGGGTTTTCGGGTTTAAAGGGTTTGGAGGGTTTCGGGTTTAGGGGTTTGGGGGTTTAGGGCTTAGGCTTTGGGTTCAGGGGTGTAGGGGTTTAGGGTTTCGGGTTTTGGGTTTCGGGTTTAGAGGCTTTGGGTTTTGGGGTTTAGGGAGTTAGGGGTGTAGGGGTTTAGGGGTTTAGGGTTTCGGGTTTAGGGTTTAGAGTTTTAGGTTTCCCGGTTTAGGGGTTTAGGCTTTGGGTTTTACAGTGTAGCGTTTCGGGTTTAGGGGTTTCGGGTTTGGGGGTTTAGGGGTTCACGGTTTAGGGTTAGGGTTTAGGGCTGCAGGGCTTAGGCTTGTAGAGTTTAGGGCTGTAGGGTTTAGGGCTTCGGGGTTCAGGGGTTAGGGGTTTAGGGAATTGGGTCTGGGGTCTGTCTAAGCCGCACTCAACTTACCTTTTTGGGCTCCTTGTTATGATTTCCGTATATAATAAGTCATGAAAGAAATGTGCTTTGGGGTTAAGGTAGGGTTGCAGAGTGTTATACAGAGCTTAGACTTTACGGTTGAGGGTTTAGGGTGTTCGGGTTTTGAGGCTTTTGGACTTTGGGATTTGGAGTTTAGGGCTTAAGGCTCATAGAGTTGTAGTATTGAGTGAGGGCTTTCATAAAGGGCTTGCGAGACATGTTTTCATGCGAGTTTCTTTTAAACAGGGCTTTCCAAACGATTTTGGGGGCGGGTCTCGAAGTTCGGGATCTCTATGTAGGGTTTACCGGGTTTTAGAGTACCATACTTGAATACTTTTTTTTGGACCTGTTCCTTAAAGGAGCCAGCATAAATATTAAAAGTCTATACTTTTTTCTCCCTGGTTACTTCAAAGTTCAGTTTAGGGTTCAGGCCATGGGCCTCTGATGAATCTTTGCTGTCTAGGAAGGGTCTGTTGACGGGCTTGCGGTATTTGGACTCATCGAGATTTGTCCGATTCACGGCAAACTGGGGTTCTGGCTTAGGGTTTCTAGGGTGATGGGGGGGTTTATAGGGCTGACAGGGCTTATAGGGAGGCTTTAGGATGTAGAGTTCGGGTTTTTTTCGGGTTGTTTTGGGTTTCAGGACTTCGGGAACCACTCCCCCCCCCCCCTCCCCCCGCCGTCGACTCCTCCCCCCTTGGACACTCATAGAAGAGGCCCTCATGAAAATCTGAACCCTAAACCTCAGAAACAAGCCCCCCTAAAACCAAAACTCCTAAAACCCCAAGCCCTAAAACTCCCAAAAGCCTATATACCCTAAACCCTGAACCCTAAACCCTAAAGCTCCCTAAACCCCAAACCTAAAACCCTGAAGCTATTTCTGCCAAACTTTGAACCTTCAGCCCTGCAGCCGAATTCAAAGCGAGCAAAGCCGCAACCCCCTGTCCGACCAAAACTCCAAACCCAAAGTTCCTGTGCATTTTAGGGTTTTAGGGTTTAGGGTTTAGGGTTTTAGGAGTTTTAGGGTTTAGGGCAGTTTAGGGCTTTAGGCTTTTAAATCTTAGGGTTTACCGGTTTTGGGGGTTTAGGTGTTTTAGGGCTTATGCCGCAACCTTAAGAAAAGGGCTTGAGGGCTGCTGTGAAAGCGTCTCAACTCTGCGTATGTAGTGCTAGCTGCGGCGTGATTTTGTCTTAAGTTATCTTTCTTGTGCTTTGGGATGATCCGTCTCCCATAACCACCCCTTTTGGAGGGTCTGGGCAACAGTTGTTGTAATTCAAAAAAAGCCCTGCAGCGAAAACTTTCTACTCACCCTGCTATGCACCGGTTCGGAACCTACGTAAGTGCAACTGAAAGACCCCGAGCACTGAAAAGACCCAACGGTCTGGACCAGGCGACGGCACCCCCTGGCGTCTGCTGCGCACCGCGAGAAACCATCACAACACAGGATGGCGCCCCGGCATCAGACTGGAGCATAAGAGTAGCAACCGGCAGTCAAACAAACACAGACTTGAGCCTCTGACGGTGTCGGACATGATCAGGAGTTGCAGCTGCCTGGCGAACTGGATCGCGAAATCCAGCGTTCTGAGGGGGGCTTGCCAGCACCTCAAAAGCCCAACTGGCAATGTCTCGCCCATCCGTTCGCTCACCTTTTCCTGGCAGCGACGAACATATAGGCCTAAATTCTTGGTTTGCGGCTTGTTTCCTTCAGGGTCCGCGTACCCACATAGCACATACATGGGCCTGAAGTGAACATAGGAGCCTTAATTATGAATAAGGGTATTCCTTAGGCTGCCCTAACGAATAGTTTTGTATGACCCATGTGTATTTCAATATGCACCAAAGCTTTTTTATCTGGCCACACCCCACATTCCACCTGGATGCTAAAGTGTATGTCCCATTTGTTGGTTATCTTCTTATACCGTCGAAAATTGTTATCGGACTATGGGTCCTCC